TGGAAAAAGTAATTTATACTCTCATAACCCAGGACCACTGAAGCTAAGTGACTGAAGAGTCAGAGCAAATAGAAGGAAATACTTTTTCGTGGTGCATACAGAAGTAGGATCGGGCATTGCAATAGCTCACACCACCAGAGTCTAGTGTGCATTGTCACTGTAGGTTGTTGTTGGAACATAGGTTACTGTGTTGTTTGAACCCAGCTGAGATAACCAACTATGATGAACAGTTCACAACCCTACAAAAAAGCATGGGTTATTTTCATGGGTTGTTCATGGTTAACAAACCATGGCATCACTTCAGTAGTTTCAGAGGTGGTATAATTGGATGGATAATTGTGGTGTTGTCTCAAATGTTTCATGTTTGTTACCATGAGTCTTTTTTTGAGAAAGGCGTCTTGGAAAAGTTTGTTATCATACATAGTCACTGTAGTAGCAGCGGTACATTTTCAAATATGAGAAGGAGCCCAAATCACTGAAGAATAATTATCCAGAGTAGGCAGGCTTTGGGGTGCGTAGGTTTCTCTGGTAAACAGGGGTGAGGGTGTCCCTGCTCTGAAGGTGTTCCCAACGGAGCATTCCTGGGCCTGACCTAGAGGTTGTCTTCATGATCCGCTTTCATCTGGGCGGCACAGATAGAGATGGAACTAGGGGCCAAAGGCCAGGGCCCCTCAACTTAGGGGGCCCTTCAGATGACACCTGGAGAGCTGCAGGTGCAGAGGAAAACCTTTTCTCCCCGTGGTCCCAGTGGTGCTGGGGGTCTAGAATGCGAAGCTGCATCTTCTCAGTATTTCTTTAATCATGTTCAACAAACAGTTTTCGTGTTGTTCTAAGGGACAGGAAGGCAGAAGCGGTCTTGAAGAACAGAATACTAGCTGGAGGGGAGGAGGAGGAATTGTGCAGTGCACAACTGAAGTGCTATACGTGGCCATCGAAAGTGCCCTTCTGCATAGAGGACCGTTAAGCTGAGGCACTGTGATTGCCTCGCTGCACCGGAGCAGCCGCATCTAGCAGCTCTTCCCTGTGGCCCGCGTGCCGTCCTGCATTCAGAATCTCTGGCCGCTTTGACAGGCAGGCGAGGGCTCTGGAGAGGGCCCATCTGGCGCCACTTTGTCCCTGGCGACGACAGGCGGAGACGAGACAGAGTTCCGAGCCCTGCTCGCCCCTGTCTTCGCCACGGTGGAGACGCATTGCTCTTCTTCAGAGCTAAGGAAGGCCGGTTGTCGCCACGCAAGGTCTAATATTCCAAGGGCTGGAAAGCAGTCCATTTCTTGCTCCAGGCAGCATGCCAGCCTGGCTTCTGTCTGCAGGGTTCCCCCCCCCCCTTTTAACTTAATTTTAAATGTGAAGAGATATTGGCAAGTAAACAAGTGATAAATTTTAATGCAATCTTCTGAATCAGCGTGCAACCTGGAGCCCTCCAGGTGCGTTCAGGCACCACTCTCAGCACTCTCCAGCCAGCATGTGTTGGCTGGTGGAGTTTGGGAGTTGTTGTCCATCGCATCTGGAGAGCACCACGTTGAAGAAGAAGAATTTAAATCATGTCATCGGACCTTTTAATAGAGAGCAAGAAATGCTCCAAGCCGTGAACGGAAAACCAGAATCAACATAATTGCCCCTCCTTCCACCAACAGAGAGGAGAGTTAATTCTGGGGGTGAGGAAGGTGTGTTTGGGGGTTTTGTTTGTTGTCGTTGTTGCATTCCTTTCCCCAGCTTGTTTTTCCAGAACTTCTGGACTGGATCAGCAGCTGAGCAGGAATTCAGCCGCCTACTATTCTGTGCTTGACTGTTTGCTTTTTCTATTACATTTTAGTCCATCCAAACCCAAAAAACATTATTTGAGTGGATGACATGATAAACCCAATACACAACAAAAACAATAATACCCAGCTCCAGATGGCTAAAGCCAGATGTTTTAAGCACCCCCCCCCTTGGTTCAATGCCCTCCAGATGTTTGGGATGTCATTTCCCTATGGCCCTGGCCAGCATAGCCAATAATCTGGAACACTGGGAGTATTCTAGGGGGCACCAAATTCGGAAAGGCAAGTTGTATGAAACAGAGATCCCACATTTTAGCTTGAGGTTTTATTTGTTTGTTCTATTTTCATCTTGCCCTTTCCTCCAAAGAGACCAAGCCTTCCTCTCTCCTGTCTTTTCCTTACAACCACAGCCCTGTGAGGTTGGATAGGCTGAGAGGCAGGGACTGGCCCAAAGCCATCCGGTCAGCTTTACAGCTGAGTGGAGACCAGCACCCAGATGTTCTAAGCCCCAGCCCGCCACTCTGACCACTCTACCACACTGCCTCTCACAACACGCTGCCTGTGAGGCTTGGCTAGGCGCCAGCAACTGGACCGGGTCGTCCAGGGAGCTTCCTGGCAACTAGAACTCACTCCCAAGGCCCAGTCCAGCACTCTGGCCGGCTACACCACACCTCCGTGTCTGTCTTCCACACCTTCAGGCTCCTTTGGAGAACAGAGCGGCCGTGAGATGGGCTTCCCCTGCCTCAACCTGATTTCCTGCAGAATCTCTGCCCCTGTTAAAAGTCAGGGAGCCCCATCTGAAAAGGAGGTCAGCTACTCTGGCCTGAGATAACTTGTTCTCCTGGAGGTCTGCTTTTGGTTCCCATAACTGGAGCAGAGTGCGGTCCCGATCCCACCTCCCTGGGTGCTCGAGAAGATGGACACACTTCTTCTCCCCCAAGCATGGATAGTTGGGTGGTTTCCCAGAGTTTGTGCTGTTTTCCCTCTGCATTTAAATATCTTGCAAAGCTTCTCCTAAAGCTCAGGTACTGCTAGTGAAAACCTTGGGCTGGGCCTTTTTAACTGGTCCAGCTTGTATTAAAATTGTTTTTGCTGTTCAGTTGGGTTTTTATTATTGGAAAAACAGTCGTGCTGTGGTTGCTGTTGCTGTTGGAGAGAGAGGGGGGTGGTGAACTGTCTCGGGCGTTTGTTTGCTGGGCTGTTGGGTGGAATAGAAATGAAATGTGGCGGCAGCAGCTGGTGTTTCTTGTACTTGTGGCCTCGTCCGGTTTTGCCCTTGGCTTCGCCTGTCCACCCCTAATCTGTGGCCCCCACGCGGGATGTGGCGCTCGCGTGGACGACGGCCTCTCGGAGTAGGTTTGGGGGCGGCGGGCATGGAGGAAGGTGCATGGCAAGGGGCGAAATGCAGCCCCCAGGAGAGGTCCTCTGATAAGGCCGGGGAAATGCCATTCGTCCCAGCCAGCAGTGGATCGATCCCTCGATCGATTGATTGGTGTGCTGCTTTTGCATACAGTATGCGAAGAGGCCCAGGGCAAAGCAAGATTCCTGCACGTATCAAAGGTGGAACAATTTCATTACAAGCGCATAATAAAACATTAATATCAGAGCAATGGACTAATAATTCCATTAGCAGCAAAGTGACACAGGCTCTTACCATGCTAGTTAGCCATGGTCGGCAGCGTGGACTTTTGCAGAGCTTCATTAAAAGAACAAAACCCAAACAAAACCATGTCCTTCGTAACAAATCAGAGGTGCAGGGGCTCGGTGCCGTCCGGAAGCCACATTCATCTTGGGATAGGGAGCCCCTCTCTCCCAAAGCCAGAGCTGCGGTGCCGGCCCCCGTGGGCGAAGGGGAAATGTCGCTCTGCACATGCTCAGGGGTCAGCTGGGGAAAGACGGGCTGGACCTCAGCGGCCCGCCTCGCCTGCCCGGGGCCAGAAGCCGCTCCTGCCCCGGCTTCGGCCGAGGGAAAGGGACGTCGGCTGGTCCATGCGGCCGGGCGGTTGGGCGTCGCGCACCCCCCTTTCCCCGACGGGGCCCCTCCGCTCCTCGCTCCTTCCCCTTGCGCCCTGTGAACGGGCCAAGTTGGGAAGCGGCGGCGAGGGGGAAGCCTGCCTGCTCGGGTCTCCCTGAACTGCACTCCCACTTTGGGGAAACATCGCAACACAAACGTGGCCATCACGGGGGGCCGGGGGGGGCGCAGCCACAGGGGGAGACGGAAAGTGCGTGGCGGGGGGGGGCACCCACACGTTGACCCTTTCCGTGGCGCTTATTTTCCCGCACCATATTCTTTATTTTCGGGTGGAGTGTCTGGATTGACCACTTCGCAGGTGCACACGTGGAACCCGCGCGTGTGTGTGTGTGTGTTGCGTGGTGGAGGGAAGCGGAGCTTGAAAAGTTGCTGCTTTAAAAATAGCAGCGGGGAGGGGAGCGTTGCGAAGCTTGCGCCGAACAGTCGCAATTCTGAATTTTGCAATTATCATTTTGGCTCGGGGCGAGGCGGGCGAGGGAAAGTGAGGCTTCGCGTGGAGAGGAAAACCCACGCGGACACGCGCGCGCGCGCGCCAGAATAAGGCGGGCCGCCGCCGGGTCTGGGGGGCTCCTGTGCGCCTACTTTAGCGACAGCCAAGCCCCCGCGAACTTCGCGCAAACGGGAGGCTAAAAAACCCGCCCGAGCGCGGAGGCGGCCGGGCTGCGTGGGCTGGCGGCGCACCAGTGGCGGGGGGGGGGGGGGGGGGGGGGGGGGGGCGGAGGTGCGGTCGATTGGCGGCGGCGGCGGCGGGAGATCAATAAACCCCTGGCGACCGAAATCATGTCTTCGGCGGCGGCGGCGGCGGCGGCGGCGGCGCCCTCTCGCTGGCCGAGATGTCAAGTATTAACCCGGAGGGGCAGGTCCGCCGCCGCCGCCGCCGCTCTGAACTCCTCGTGGGCGCATTAGGCTGGGACTGCTGGCGGCGGGATCCCGGCGGCGGCGGCGGCGGCGGCGGCGCCCCCCCCC